GATCCCGGGCAGGTCCCGGGCAGGTCCCGGGCAGGCTGCCAAGAGCTCTCCAGGAGCGCTTCAAGTGGCCTCTAAGAGAGCTCAACATGGTCCGAGACGGTCCAAGAGAGACCCAAGACGACAAATATTGCCTCCAGACAACCCGAAGCGCCTTCAAGACGCCCCAGGAGGCCTCCAAGAGACCTCCCAAGAGGGCCCACAGAGGCAGAAACTTGTAATTTCCCATCAGTTTGTGACGGTTTTTGGCGTTCTCGCCTTTTCGGCTTACCCGCGCTTCTAAGACCGCCCCAAGACGGCCCACGAAGCCTCCAAGAGGGCCCCAGCCCAAGGTGGCCCCAAGACAGCCCAAGAGGCGCCCAAGACGGCCCAAGAGAGCCCCAAAACGGCCCCAAGAGGGCCCCCCAAAAAAGACCAGGAACCGAAAAGTCCAGCCTTCAGCCCCAAGAGGCCCCCAGGAAGTAACCCAAGAAGCCCCAAGAGGCCCCGAAGAGGCCCCAAGAGGCTTCAACACCGCCCCCAAGAGGCCTCAAACTGCCTCCGCAAAGCCCCTGAGAGGCCAACCACGAGAGCCCAACCAACATCCGTGAGGCCTCTGACCCGCCACCCACCGCCTCCGAAAAATGGCGGCCGCCCAACCGCACCGCATTGACAACAACACCCCGACAAACGACAGCGGCGAAACAATTTTGGCAGGAGCAATGAGCGAAGCGATTTCTTGATTTCTCCCTGTCGTACCCGAGGCAAGTTTTTTGGGCGGGCAAGGCGACTCGCCTCCTCACCACTGAAACTTAACAAGTGGCAACAGCTTCACAGATGGAGGGCGAGTCGTTTTCAAAATGTGGCTCTCGTTTAGCGCCGTGCACATTCGTTTCAAAAGTTTGGAAGAATTTCACGGGTTGAAGGCGACACGTTTGCAAAATGTGGCTCTCGCCCTAGCGCCGCGCACATTCGTTGTACAAAGTTGCAGAAGCTCACGGATTGATGGCGACCCGTTTTCAATATGTGGCTCTCGCCTTAGCGCCACGTCCAGCCGTTTTGAACAACTGCAAGAGGTTCACAAATTGATGGCGGCTCCTTTTCAACATGTGGTTCTCGCCTTAGCGCCGCGCACATGTGTTTAGACAAATTGCACGGGTCACGGCTTCCCATGATGAGCGTACCAGCAATGGTGTTTCGGAAGGGTTCAGGGTCATGCGGGTGCAACAGTTACGTTGATTCGCGGTGTTGAAGTCCCAGGAATGTGTTGAAGTCCCAGGAATGGCGTTCTGGTACGATTCAGGATCGTCAAAACGCAACAGTCAAATTGATCCGTGGCGTTAGTCCCAAGATCCATGGTTTGGCATGCTTCAGGGTCTTCAGACGGTTGTGTTCCAAACTGAACCGCTGTAGGGGCTTGTGAAGAGTGAGCTTGGATGGGGGGGGTATTCAACATCGTTGATTCATCTAGGGTTCACACATGTCTTCCTCCGCCTCCTCCTCCTCCTCCTCCTCCTTCCTCCTTCCTCCTCCTCCTCCTCCTCCTCCTCCTCCTCCTCCTCCTCCTCCTCCTCCTCCTCCTCCTCCTCCTCCTCCTCTCTCTGACTCCTGATTCCAAATTCCTGTCGGTGGTGGCGTTCTCCGAACGCTGATGCTTCCCCCAAGGCCGGTCAAATGTCAGCCCTGAGGGAGCATGACATATAAGTAGGCAGGGGGTAAACTAGGACAGACATGGAGGAAAAGGGAAGAAGGAGACGGGATCATTATACGAAGAGAACAGGAATTGGGGAAGTTGTGGCATGCGGCAGTCGTGTCGACAATGCTGGCTGGGCCCTTGAGCCTTGCTCGCGTGGCTGAGCCAGGTCCCCCCTCCTTCGAATCGCCAGGGCCCTTTTGGGCCAGCGCTCTGTCCCCTTCCGTAGAGGTGGCCTACTGGACAGGGTTGTGGGGGTCGTGGCGCCCGCGCCCGCAAGCCAGCTGGGGCGTCGTCCGAACAGTGGCCAATGCCAGAGGCCGTCGGCGCAGGCAGAGTGGCGGCACGAGGCGAGGAAGACTGCGCACGGTTGAAGGTGGTTGAAATCTGGCCCCAATGGCTAGAAGTCGGAGGCTGCCTGACGGAGAAGGCGGCGGTGGAGATGGCGGCGCAGCAGTGTGCGGCGGTGGCGGCGCCTTTCCACTCTCGCCTGCGGGGACGGCGCAAGGGCCTCTGCCTCAGCGCAGAAAAATACCCGACAGACGTCCCCGGGATCAGAGGCGGGATCCCTCGCCTGAAAAACAGGCGTGGTGTTCCCAGCGCATTGGCCCTGGGGCCGCCTGGGGGGTATCCACCGAGCGGGAAGGAGGTTTGCGCCCTCCAGGCGGCGGCGGGACCTCCGACTCTTGCAGAAAGCGGTGGCGGTCACAGTCCGCCGTACGGCCGCAATGGGTCAAGGGGTCCAGCCCGCGGGTCCAACGGCGACCCAAGTGAAGGTGCATGCAGGTGTTCGGACAGCACGTGCACCTGCTTCACTTCACAATCGCGTTGCGTCTGTTGCGCCACGCCTGCGACATGAGAATTATTCACTGCGTGGAGCTCACCATATGTGCATCTATTCGCAGTGACCTGTCCGCCGCGAATGCCTAGGCGCAAGAACTTTCGAATATAAACGGGCTTCAGTTGTGACGGTCTGGTCATGAATCTAACTG